ATTTATTCTAGTTAATTCATTTACTTGCAATAATACTTAGATTTATTAAAATATGAAAGATTTTTGAATGTATAAGATATTGTTACATAATATGCTTTTTGTTTAAAATTAGGGCACAGAAGCAATTGAAGGTATGATTGTAAATTCTAACTTGTTAAAGCATGTGCCTTTGAATACCAAACTATTCACAAGGATGGTAAAGTTACGAATACTCATATTGGATGGAGTATGTCTCAACGGATCTTTTGAATATTTGTCCAATGAGCTTCGGTTGTTTAGGTTGCATAATTGCCATTTGAGTCACATACCATCTAATTCTTGCTTTGGGAAACTTGTTCAGTTAGACTTGCAAGATAGCAATATCAAAGAGTTTCAACCCAATATGCAGGTTAGTATATGTTTAATGATTATTTTATCATTACATATTTCCTAAGAACTTTTACCAAGTACAGAAAAAAATAGATTTAAATTGATTAAATTCCTCTACTTTATTTCAACAGTATTTTAGATGCTTGAAGATTTTAAAGCTTGATGGTTGTGAACAACTTAAGAAAACACTGGACTTCACTGGAGCACAGAGACTTCAAAAAATATTTGTTATAAATTGTCCAAATTTAGTCAAAGTGCACCCATCAATTGGAAGTCTGGAGAGCCTTGTGGAGTTACATTTTAGTAATTGCAAGAAACTGAAGGTGCTTCCGAGTAGCATTTGCAAGTTAAGATCACTTGAGTTCTTAATTTTAAATGGTTGTGAGAAACTGGAGGAGCTTCCTATTGACTTGGGAAAATTAGAGCAACTAAGAGGATTATATGCTCAAAGAACTGCTATCTCACACCTACCCTTTTCTTTAGGGTGTTTGAGAAATCTAGAGGTCCTACGCCTGGGAGAGCAAAAGGGTTTACTACCATTATTGGAATCAAATTCTCAAGTACTTGGCATCTTATCACCTCATTTGTGGTCAAAAAGAACTCGTGATCCTCTCGGTTTTTTTCCACCTTCAGTTGCCAATTTATGCTCATTGGAAAGTCTAAGTATGCCAAACAACTATCTGCATGAAGTAGATCTTCCAATTGCTCTTGGGAGTTTGACCTCATTGGCACATTTAGATTTATCAGGAAGTTGCTATCTTCAAAACTTACCGTTCGCCCTTTGTCATCTTTCTAATCTGAAAAGCCTCAGATTGGACAATTTGCAAAATCTTAAAGCACTTCCAGAACTCCCTCCTAATTTGGAGGAACTCTCTGCAGAAAATTGTGTCTCATTGAAAAAAGTTGCTTATATATCAAACTTGAGAAGACTCAAAGGGTTATACATTCCCAACTGCAAAAGTTTGGTTGAGCTACCAGGCCTAGCGAGTCTTGAATCCTTAGAAGTGCTTGACATAGCAAGTTGCAATGCTTTGATTACTTCTTACAACTATTTGCAAGAAGTAGACCTTTCGATCACTGTTGGAGATGGAGATTTTTCCTTGTCAACATATTTAGAAGATTTGAATGGAAATTGCTATCTTCAAACCTTACCATTCAACCTTTGTCATCTTTCCAATTTGAGAAGCCTCAACTTGGAGGATTTGCAAAATCTTAGAGCACTCCTAAAACTTCCTCCTAGTTTGGAGGAACTCTCTATAAAAAATTGTGTCTGTTTAGAAAGAATTGCAGACATATCAAACTTGAAGAGTCTAGAAGAGTTGAATCTTCGCAATTGCAAAAGTTTGGTTGAGCTTCCAGGCCTGAAAAGTCTTGAATCCTTACGAAATCTTGAGATAACAAATTGCAGCGCTTTGAGTATTTCTTCGACTGAAAAGTGGTTCGAGGTTAGTTATGTTCATTCCCTTAGCTTGATCTGTATCTATCGCTTTGTCGTCGTCGTCTTTGATGATTTAATTTGGTGTTTTAGTAGTAGTAATAATGTGATTTGGTATTCCATAATGTAGGCACGTTATGAAGGTGATAGTGTCAAGATTTGGCTTCAAGTATGGGGAACTTTAGTATTTTGCAATATTCCAACGTGTTTGGGGTTTGAATCCTTAAAACTCATTATCAGTGAAAATGAACAAAATCGCTATAATGGAGTTCGAGTGAGGGTGAGAAGCAAAACCACTGGTACTTGGATTGTAAAGGAACCCAAATATATTGAGATCAATGGATATGACAAAATTGAATTTGAGGTCCCAACAGTGATTGCACAAGTATTGGAGGTTTATGCAGAATTCCGTCCTTTGCAGATAGTTTGTCTATTTGAAATATATAAAAACATAGAGGGGGAAGTGCGATTCTTTCCATCCACAAGGGGACTCATGGAATTTGAGGAAACAACAACAGATGGATCTTTCCGTAGTCCCCAAAGTGAAGAAAGTAGATTAATGATAGAAACTGTTGCGGATTCTTCAACATGTGATGAAGAGCAGAATGGTAGGGGTAGGAGAAGACACACAAGATGTTGCATTTGGGAGTTTCTACTCAAGTGTTTTTGTTGGGATATATAATGAAGATGATCGAACATTATTATCTAGTGTGGTAAATGATGATGTTGTAATTTGTACGTAAACCTACTTTATATATATATATATATATATATATATATATATATATATATATATATATATACTAGTATTTGTCCCGTGCGCTGCACGGTATGTAAATTAAAAAGTATTAATTGTGTGGATGTTATGTTATAAATTGTATGAACTAATGCGGTTATAATTTATAATAACATATAAATGAAATATGTTTGGGAATTCAACAAAAACAATATGTAAATGGTATATTACAAATAGTTGCAATTAATGATATGGCACTAAAAAAAGAAAAGTTTACAAAATTACAAATTATTGAAAACTTCATGATATACAACATTAGTGGTTGATGTAGTAGTTGAACTTGAGTCTTTTACTATCAATATTTTGAGACCATCTGGATTGTTAACACGAGATGCAGCTACGTACAACTGACCATGTACAAAAACCGGTTTCTTTAGTATTAATCCTACATGAGACAACGCTTGTCCTTGACTTTTGTTTATGGTCATTGCATATGATAGCATCAATGGAAATTGTTTTCGTTGAAACTTGAACGGCAATCTTGGATCGGAGGGTGACATTGACATTCGGGGGATCAACACTTTTGCACCTTTGTTAGTACCATCTATTAATTCAGCTTCAATTACACGGCTTCATGGTAGACCACATAGGGAAATCACAAATTTTAATTATTGTATTATCACAAATTTTAATGGCCTATAAGAATTGAACAATTAAAAACATGAAATAATTCTTCTTATGAAATAATGATTGTTATATAAATTTGTCACAACTACTTACACAAAATCTAATTAAATATTATATAATAAATATCCTAAATACATATAATATATATAATATATAATATAAAACAAATTGTGTGAGACAATAACACTAATGAGCTTAGTAGACCTAAGTTGCTATAAACGCATTTGAGTTTTGGAGATCTGGTCTTTCTTGCCCCTATCTGCTCTGTCTCTCTGCTAGTGTACTCTCGAACCTTCGCGATTTCATTGTCACTATCTCTCTAACATATTGCACTGTGAAGAATACCTCTATGTAGATACAAAGCTCGCAGGTCCGAGATGGAATCAGAGGCGGACCTACAGTGGGGGCAGTGGAGTCAGCTGCCCCCACTCACCCCACCCCCACCTCTTATATAACCCTTGTATGTATATGTGTATATATAGTACAAATTTTAGTATAAGATTTTGAAAATAGAGAATTGTTAACAAAGTGTAGCTTAGCCTAGTTGGCTGAGCGTGTGGTTTGTCTAAACGCAAGCCAGGGTTCCTATCCCCTTTATCTAGTTGGCTGAGCGTTGGTTTGTCTGAACGCATGCCTAGGTTCAAATCCCCTTTATTTACTTTCCACATCTCATTTTCTTATTAACACTACCTTTTCTCATTATTTCACATTTTCACTATTATATTAATAATGAGATGAGATGTGTAATTTATAATGGAACTTTTATTCGAATTATTTTATCAAATTGATTATGTTCATATTTTGTTATGAATATTTTTATAATGTTTTGATGTGTTTTATAATTTTTTTATATCCAACATTATTTATTTATTTATGGCTATACTTTTTAAGTGTTCCATTTTTTTTTTTCTAATTATCAATTTTGCTTTAATATTTTGCCCCCGCTGAAAAAAAATCATGGGTCCGCCACTGGATGGAATCTACGTATCTGAGTGTAATCTGGTGCATTAGAAGCGATTTTTTTGCTTTTTCATTTCTGAAAAAGCAGAGGTAATGTTCTAGGTTTCATAGATCTCATAGTGTGGAATTTTATATGGAACAAAATATCTTTTTATTTAAATTTGAAATTTATTTGTTAAAAAATATAATTTTATATAAGTTGAATAATTTAATTTAAATATCGACATCTAGATGCAAAACCATTAATACGCAATTACCACATCTGTTCACAATGAAATGTAAAGTATTATAAATTTACAAATTATTGAAAACTTAATGGTAAGACATCTGGATTGTTGACTCGAGAAGTAACAACGTACAACTGACCATCTGGATTGTTGACCCATATAATTTTTTTTTTTTGAGAATAATTATTTATAGAGAATGTTCTAACATTTAGAGTAGATGTTAGATCTTCATTCTCCGCAATAAAAAAAATAAAATATTATATACATATATTTAATATCAAGTATTATGCAAATTTATTTTCCAACATATTTTAAAAAGTATTATGCTAATTTATTTATCAAAACATTTATACTTTTACCAACTATTTATCAAACAAATTTATATAATTAGTACATCTAATTATCTAATTATATACATAAAAATATTATATTAAAAACATGATTTAATTATTACTACATTAATATCAATAATATTAAGAATAAGCATTATTATCTAATATAATAATATTAATATTAATATTTTTAATATTAATTAATATTAATAATGCCAAAGGCAGGGCCATATGGTGGATGATTCTGGAAACATTCTAGCTAAGCATTTGGGCTATTTTCCTTGCTCGTGGCTAGCTTTATCGCACAGATCTGGAAAGTTAACTCAATTCCCTCAAAGATCCACCAAAACCCCATAGTCTACAATACAATACACAGCTCTAGTGCTTAGAATTTCTTATCTGATGTTATTCCTGCGAAAAATTTAGCTAGCAAATGGATTCTTCGTTACCTTTCCTCGCCCCTACAATCTAGCATGTCTTTGATTTTTGGGTTCGACAACTGTATTCTTCTCTGGCGGATCTAGTCTCAGTACGGCACTGATCCAATGTTGAGGTTAAATCTGTTTTTTCGGTAAAGTTCTACTGATCTAGGGTTTTCATAGAGGTTATGAATTCATTTATTTCTAAGATTACTTCATCTAGCGCTTCACATCTGCGAAAATTAGTGTTTAAATTTTCTATCAATTGTTTTATTAATCAACGTGGATCTTTCTAGAGTTTCATGTATATGTTGGTTTGCATGCTCAAATCTAGAGTTTCTAATGTTGATTTTAATAATCCAATTTGAAATTATTCTGTCAATTTCGCTATATAAATCAGTCTAAAATTGTTTTGTTGTCCATTTCTAATGATCTGGGATTCTGATTATCTAATACGATTACTTTCTATTGGATATTCTATATAGTATATAACTCAGGTGTTTCTTTTTCCTCCCTATCACAGCTGATCTTGTAAGTTGCTTCATTATTCAAACTAATTGTGTTTACAATTTGATTGTACATTGAAACTGTGTCACTTGTTAAGATAGTCACTGCTATTTGAACTATACCTTTTATTTGGTTAAGCTGAAAATCTTTTAATGTGCATCATTCAACTTGTCATTTTTTAAACTCTGCAGTGTTATACATACTGAGTAAGACTACCTATAGTGTATGAGTGCACAGAAGCTTCAGTGTCCAAGTCAAACATAAAGTCTGTATAATACCAATGCTGTTTTCTTGCCCTAGGGTTGCAGTTTCCACTTCCTGATAGGTATGTGACTTTTTATTTACTTATTTCCTGCCCTAGGGTTGCAGTTTCCACTTCCTAATAGGTATGTGACTTTTTATTTACTTAATAGTTGTTTGCACAGTAGTTGGTGGTTAAATTGTTGTAGGAGGTCAAGCTTCATCAATTGATTCTGATGACTTATAAATGTATATTGCTCTAATGCATACAGTAATTTTATTACATTTGCACAAGATCTTAGAGATATCAAAATGATATTGATATCTGTATTTCTATTAGACATCTCTATGATCTAATAGAGGGAGCATAGAGATTCTTTCAACCCATACATTTTATTTTTTTTTACATTTGCACAAACATATAGACCGATCAAACTATTATAGTAGTAAGCTTAAAAACCTACTTCTTAGGGCAAAAGTAGTCTGATTCTGCCCTCCACTCTTGTGTACACATTACTTCTTTTTTATAGAAGGATTTGCACAAACCTATGGTCATTTTCCTGCAAAAGGAAAAAGAAAACCCATAACAGTGAGTATAAACGGCTTTGTAAATCAATGTCAAAGTGTCACCAAATTAAGAAGTCCTCACAAATATGGCATTGAAATGTGAACATGCTAATGAAATATGGTTCCTGCAAAAAGGCAGAGCAAAAAATATCACAAATGTCCATTGTAAAGGAAAACAATCATAGTTCAATATTTTCAGGCCATTAGGCAAAATTGTTCATCGAAAATACCCCATTTTGGACCACTGTGGTCCAGAAACACAGTTTAGAAAACATTCTTCCAAACCTAGTCATGACTCATGATATATGGGAATGGATAACAGTCAAACTTTCATAGATAATTAGAGCCTTCCTGAAACCATAGATAATTAGAGCAGTCAACTTTCATATACTGTTTTAAAAGATGTTTTGCATATGCTACAATTAAAGTAGCATATCCAAGTTTAATACCCCTGCAGAATCTTCAGTTCCTTCATCATCTTCTTCAATCATCCTAGATAAAAGATCCTTGTCTTGGTTATCATTAAGGTTTGAACAATAGGTAGACATCAAGGCTTCATCCCTTACAGAAAAGATTCAAAAATATTAGTAACAGAAAACCATTGCTGGAACCTTTATTGCTGTGGATCTGCTTCTTCATTTTTATTGTAAATGAGTTGAAAGATTACCCCCTTCAATTGATAGACTTCAGAAACAGAATGAAGTTCCATTTCCCCAGATAGTGAAACCGAATAAGAAATACACTCCCTAAAGCTTGATTGTGAGATAATACTCCTCTTGGAGTGTGCTCATAACATAGACTGTGAGACAGAATAAAAACACAGATTAGGGAGTAATTTAGAAAACTTAGAAATAATTTAGTTAACAAATAGATGATTTAAAATATACCTTTCTCTGAATTCAAAGAATTCCGGAGTTTCGTGGTTGGAAAGAAGTTGTGGGGCATCATAGGAACTACTAATCTTGATCTCCCCAGCTTCAAAAGGTCACGGTTTGTTGGTATAAGAATACAGACCATTGGTAATTATTATAGATGGTGATAGGCAGTGTTACAACTACAGTTTAGGTGTGATTGTGATAGGCAGTGTGCGTGCAAGAAGGTGCCATGTATATGTTAGAATATGAGATATAGTATACGATTCAATACCAAAATAGTAGAATAGTATTTATTCATAAAACTCACCTCCTGGTCATGAAACGACCTATTTAGATTTGATTTGCGATGAAGCTTTTTCTGTCAGGTATGTCGTATGCTTGTGTTCATTGGAGAAATCCGAGTGGCAAGAATGAGCATTGTTCTTCAGTATACGCAGGGCTTCAATCTTGGCAGAGTTTGTATTGAATATTGAGACTTGTTAGTGTTTGTATTGAAGAGAATGTGAAGTATATATAGGACTTTAGATCTGATTTCTGCCCTTTCGTTTACTAACAAAAGGTTTCAAACGATTAGTTGCAATTAATTATCTTGGAAAAAAGAATCCGGCTAATGGGTTTAATTATGTAAATAAATTTTGTATGGGAAACTGAAGAGTATAATAGGTTTAATAGAATGCTTTAATATCATTGGCTTAGAAATAAAAAAGATTGGCTAAAATCTAGGGAACTGATAAGGTAACACGTTTTTTAACACAAAGTGTAATAAATTTTCGGCCATCTATGGAACGGCGTCGTTGGGTTTGGGCGGGAAGTTTTTGCTCCCTTTATTTTGCTTTAATATATATATATATATATATATATATATATATATATATATATATATATATATATATATATAAAGTATAACACATTAATTGGTTTTTAGACATGACATTTCGCGCAAAGCGCGTGACGGTAACTAGTATATAAATAAAAAATAAGAAGAAAAAAATTTGAGAGTGGATCGATGCACATTTCCATCCATCCTCTACACCTACCATACTTTATGCATTTCAAATACATGTATAGAAGAGAAAATTGTAACAAATACCCTTCTATAATATGTCAATTATCAATGTCACCCCTGAATTATGAGTGATGTAAATGTTGCCCCTCAATTATCAAAATGGTGCACATATAGCTCCTCCCGTAACAGACCTGTGGTTCCCCATCGCTGGTACTTCGAATCGAGGGAAGGAAAAAACAACTAAATTACATACTTACTCCGACTTAACGGTGTCGTACACTAACGAGGAATCACATGTCCGTTACGGGAGGCGCTCTATGTGCACCGTTTTGATAATTGAGGGGCAACATTTACACCATTCATAATTCAGGGGTGACATTGATAATTGACATATTATAGAGGGGCATTTTTTACAATTTTTCCTATATAGAAACAGTAGAGACTTCATCCTGCAGTTTCATCAATTTCAATATTTCAAACTTTGAAAGTGCATCTTGAATAATTACAAAGTGCATTTGATGATATGTAAAAGTATATATACTTAAAGAAATGCACTCCACATATCACTGTATACACTTTGTTTATTGATTATTGCATTTTGTACTGTTGATCAGTATATTTTATCACTGTTGAGATCAATCTATAGTTTTTATGTGAACGGTGATTCACATGTGGTAAGAGCAAGATTCTTTCATATTATTTATGAATAAACTAATTATATTTTAAATTTTTTTCTCAAATAGGATTTTTTTTTTAAAGATGTTGTCAATCATGCTTTTAAAATGTAGCAAAAAATAATTGAATCTCATAATATATATATATTATTAACAAAACTTAGACTTACTGGGGATGGAGTATAAGGCATTCATTGGGATGGAGTTCTATGGAAAGCTTCGAGTTCTGAAGATAGAGTTACTGCAGGTAAGTGGTGATGATCATGAAAAATAATAAATAATTAATCACGTCAGTACTTTTATAAATAAATAATTATGTTTACAATATTCTATTAATTGTGAATTAATTTTAATTTTAAATTTTAGAATTAATTTTTAAAGTAATGATTGTCTGAAGGTTACACAGTTTAATTTTATTATCAAATTAATACCATGTTAATTGCGTCTGTTATGAAAGTTATGCAAACTAATTAATTTTATTATCAGATTACTGTCATGTTAATTGCTATTAATTCCTTATCTCCTATATAAGCATGGTTGAGCAGGTGAATTTTTACATAACATTCAGCCTACGTTTTGCTCTAAAAATCTCTGCTCATCCTCCTCCTCAAATCACCTGTGTCCATCCCTTGTTCTAGTTCGCCGGGCTTACTTGTTTGAGTGCTCAAACATTGAATCGTAGTACGTTTTATTTTGGGAAACCTAAACTACAATGCTTCTAGCACTTTTGGGAGGTAGTGTTGGTCCCGGTAGGGTCAGAGAGAGTCTAGAGGGGGGGGGGGGGGGGGGGGAGGGGTGAATAGACTCTAATCGATTCTTTTCGACTAAGCTCCTTTCGGAGATATACGCATCGGAAATAGAGTTTTGTTTTAACTATTCTTTGCACGCTTTCGTGTTAGTAAAATTTAGCATTTGGGCGATATGATATGATATGCAAAGCACGAAAATAAAAGCGATAAGTAAAGAGAGATAGACAGAGAGATTTTTATAGTGGTTCGGCCAATTGTGCCTACTCCACTCTTCTTTCACAACTCGTGAAAGAGTTTGCACTATCACTCCTAGTACAAACTACTTCAAGCTGGCTTCCTTGATCACTAAGCCGGACAGCGACTTGAAAGGTTTTTCAACTCCTCGAGTTTACTCCGCATCTATCAACTTATTCCTAAGCTGAGATGTTGGAAAGAAAATTTGATGGTTCTCCAACAGGTTGAAGCTTGTCTTGACGTCTGGATTGATCTTCACTTGAGAAAAGTACAAGACTGCTTCAAGTTGTGAAGTATGAGGATGAATGTGCCTTTGAAAAACTTCACAACAAACACTGGTTATGAAAAACTTTGAGGATGGAACTGCTTTGAAGAGCTTTTCTTAAGATTACAAGAGTGAGTTAACCAACACCTTCTTCAATGGTGAAGAGGGGTATTTATAGGTGGAAAAATCCATCCGTTGGAGGGAGATGAAAATTTCAAACCTAATAACCAATGTGTATTACTCACTGGGCAGAAGGCATTTAATGCACTTGTACTGTATAGCTGTTGGAGCCAAAAGCATAATTGTTTTTGTCATTGATCTCTGACAAGATGGTACATGCCTTTTAATGCTCTTTGTCTTTAGTGAAAATCATTCCTAGGACACTTTTTGTCCGAATGATTTGCCCATCTGAGTGATAAACAACATTCTCATTGTTTCCTTTAATGAGTGTTGTCTTTCTACAAGTCTGTCCTTGACTTGTTCACTTAGGAATGAAAGACGAAAGATTGTCTTCATCCTTCGTCCTTTCTTTTTAGACGAAGGTTCCTTTTTCAAAAACAGTCCATCTAAGACTTGCTTTAATCCTTCTTTCGTCTGGAGGCATCTTTCGATCATCTTCAAATCTTCATGCAGACCTATTGTACTAGTCTCGTGCATGGTTTAACATCTCATGCCTATGTCATACAAGACTTACCTATTAAACAAAAAACAGGGGTCTACAATCTAAGACAGTTTGGTATCATCAAAATCTAAATACACTTGTTCCTAACAATTTCTCCCTTTTTGATGATGTCAAAACCTATACTCTTATTGTAAGGCTGAAGGATATCCTTTAAAGGAAAATTTTATTACAAAACAGCCTTATTGAAGAGTGTACAAAAGGATCTATAGAAACTTATAAAACTGGCCTAAGACAAGGACAGAAAGAGCTTATAGATTATGCAAAAGGAGATTTTCATTAAACAACTGCAAATTACAATATAGCAAGCACTTGTCAAAAATTAAATTATTGCAGGACTAAAAGATTTTGTTCACCTGTTGTGCTTCCATCCTCTCTTTGTCGTCTCGTTCTTTTTGTTTCTTGAGCATATTATCAAAGTCTATTTCATTGTTGATTGAGACTCTGACTGCTTTGAGTGGTCTTTCACGGACTTGGGCTTCATATTTTTCTCCAAAATTGTAGTTCATATAGTTGTTGTAGGCTTCTAGGATGTTTTGTCCAGAGATGATGCCATGGTTCCACCAGGTTACTAGCTCTATGGAGTTCATTCCTTCAACATAGCTTTTCCCAGATTCTCGGTGAACTTTTGTTGTGGCACATATTTAACATATATGTCTGCATCCTTTCCTATCTTTGAAACATCTTTTATTTTCTCCTACATCTCTTGATACCTAGTGAGCTCTCGTTTCCTTAGATTTCTCGCTTCTTCTTGTTCAAGTCTCAGAGCTTCATTTTCTTCCCTTATTCTCTTGTTCTGTGTCCATTGATAATCTTGCCTGGTGTGGTTATCCTTCTTCTTTAGCCAGATTGGTAAGTTGTATCCTTCAAACCTTAACCCACTTCCCTTTTTGTATTCTTCATACTGAACAAATGTTCCAGATCCGTCCATTGTTACTTTGTTGTCTCTCATTAACTTCTTTCGAAGATTTATCTTCTCTCTACGAGATAGCCCTACAAATGAGTAGACAGATTATGATCCATAGGAAGGTCTCGGTCTTATAGACTGTCGTCGAGACTTGGAGGGTGCGTCATGTCTTGACTTTGAAGGTGTTTGCTGCTGATACTCGAGAGGAGGTGTGTTGTATGTATGCTCGAATGTTCCTTCATTTCTCCTCTCGGGTTCCTTTCTTCTTCCTTCATCTGCATCATCATCATCATCTTTTCTATGTCTCTTTTCCCCCTTTTGGCATCATCACCATCAGTGGGAGGATTAGAAGGTTTCAGAAGTGAATCAACCTTGATGGAAAGATCCTTGACATAATTTAAGATCTGAAGTTGATATTCTGCCATAGCAAAGAGATTATTGTTGGCTGTGTCGACCTTCAGACACGAGAGATCCACTCGTTCTTTGAGACCAAATTGAGAAAGCTTGAGCGAATGTTGTTCATTTGCAATTTTCTCAAGCATTTCGGTTTGGTGGCTTAGGTCAACAGGCTACTGAACTAGCGGAGGGGATGATTTTGCCTTTTGATTTTCCTTGTTCATGAAAGTGAGCTGCCTCGCGATGAGAGACATTCGAGTGGACAGGTGTGTCATGACTTGAGCATCTTCTAAACGTTGTTCATTGTATCGTTGATACTGCTTATGGAGCGCTTCAACTGTTCTTGCCAGAAGAGTCAAGATTGCTTCAATGTCAAGATTATCATTTTCAGTTTGAATGCCATGCTCAGTTCGGGTAGGGACGACTTGTGCCATACTCAATGATGCTTCCCGTTTGCCATCATGAGATGGTTTCGGAATCCAAGATTTACCATCTTTAGAACGAGAGTAAAGATCCGTAGGTGGGATCATCACAGTTCGTCCAATGATTGGAGAACTGTCGTCATCATCATCATCGTTACTGGAACTGGCATCACTGTTGCCACCATCATCATCATTCGGACTATCGTTGTCATCATTCTCATCATCAGCATCGTCTTCTTCACTCTTCTCTTCAGCCTCTTCTTCTTCATTTTTCTCATCTCCATCATCTTTCTCATC